GATAAATAAAGTGAAATAAATTGATTTACTTATAGTTCAAATACATTTATTTTACATTTATTTTTACATTTTTTATTATCTTTTATAATTTTAGATATCTTAGGTCAGTCTCGGCCGTGATTCGAACACACGACCTTCCGATTACGGAGTGAGAGCGCTCTACCGACTGAGCTACCATGATGGAAGAAACTGGTGATGTAAACAGCATGCACTCATAAAAGAAGCATTGATGGTTTTATAATTGAGGTGAGTGTTTTCTGTCAGTAGTCATATCACAGACTCACAGTTCGTCATAATTTTGTTGAACCATTCACTGTATTGGAGAGAATATTGCAAAGATTTTTTATTTAGTGTAGATCGAGCGCTGAAAACCAAAACTTTGCAATATACAGTGAGATACAGCACATTAATTCTATTTCATTGTTTCATCTTAAAATATTGCTATAAAAATTAAAAGGAGAAGTAGGTTGATGTGATTGTACACGTAGTATCCATGTTCTTACAATTAAAGGGAATGAAAATATGAGACACTGACATTTTAGCAGGAAGAAGCTTTAATATAGAAGATAAGGGCTTTCAGGTCAATAAGAAAGAAGTGAGAGTAGGAGAGGTATTCCAACGACCCTGTCTTGTGTGCGTGGATGTTAGGTTAACTAATCTAACAGCCATGGTACACCAAATATATGCTGTACTTTCCCTTTCATAACCAATTGCTAGACTAGTATAATGGAAATAACAGAGAAACATAGCATATGTATAATTTTTAGATATTTCAATATAAGAATGATTTTAATTGTAGATATCGGTCAAATATTTCCACAAGAAGAAGCATTTTCTAACAGTGTATCATGTATGTGTTCATATACATGTTAATCCAATGGACATACTACCAGACCTCTTCTGCACATCTAGTCTACTTCGTGTGCTCTAAAAGGAATACAGGCCAATATGTGTACTTAGGAAAAACTTTTTACTGTGAAATGCAAAACTGACTTAGCCTTAGATATCAAACTTATACTCTTTTTACTCAAAAGTGTTCTTTTTATGTAGTGAATAGGTTAATTTGAATATATAGATGTCTGTTTAAAATTTTTGTTTGTTTGTTTTTTTCCTCCCTCTCTTGTAGGTTTTGAATTTTGTAGGTGACGTTAAACGTAAAATCAACTTTGGACAGCCTTATGGGTATACATTTATTAGATGGTGGTGCCATGTGGGGATTCTTTGGTCAAAGGTCTTAGGTGGAAAAGCAATGGTAAAACAGCTAATAAAAGTACTGTTATATGTGGAACCATGAAAACCCTCTGAGCATAATATATATATATATATATATTGTTATGAACCCATTGTGACAGTAATAGTTGTTTATTGATTTATTTATTGTTGATATTGTTGAAATATATAATGCAATATTAATAGGAATAATAACAGCTAATAATTATTCCTGAGATATAAGAAGTTACAATTGTCATGTGTATTGATGTTTATTTTTGTGCGGTACTGTACTACAGTGCATGTAAACAAGGATCGAATAATTCTTGTATCCAGTAAGAAATACAACCCCAAGATTATTCAACAATTAGTTAGAGGTGCAGAGACAACTATTTATCAACTTTGTCTATCAGCAACTTGTGTTATATAGAATTACTATGCGTAATCACTAAGCTGACAGCCAGCTACAATTATGTCAACACGTGCTCTGCACATCGTCACCTCGGAGAGATGATTCAGCTTTAAATACCATTTACCATGATTTATAGATATAATAAGCAGAATCTACACCTCTTAATTACTCACGTATGAAGGTTAAGACATCGTTAAATACTTTGTATAAGCTGTATCGGTCGTCATCTCTAGGGAGAATTCAGCAATGTTTTCATTCGCAGACGGCCATGTTCCTTCATGAATAATAATGAAGAATGTCAGACACCTCGGCCCAACGACACCTCGGCCCAACGACATCTCGGCCCATTGACACCTCGGCCCCAACGGGTCGGCCCAAGATTTGAGACACCTCGGCTCACGAAAAAGACACCTCGGCACAAACAAAAATGTATTATTTGAAACATATTTATTTAATACATTCTGAAGTATTTTATCATTATAGGGACTAAATACGACGGATTATATTATTATATATCCATGAAATAAAAAAGAAAATAAATGAATAATCTTCCGAGAGTAAATATTGACGGTAATTAAAAAAAAATGTCCATCCCAAAGTGCTAATCGTTTAACAAACAAGAAGACACGGCACATCCTTTGGCGTCTCAAGCGCGTGTCATATGGGGTGGTGACAATTAGGAGTTAATTACGAGCAGGCTAAATTAATCCAATTGTTGGGTACAAACCACATATCTACCTTGGTTGGTTTAGGGAAATATATCCATTATGCTCTAATATTACGCAACGAAGATCTATCAGGTTAACGTAATTTCTATCTGTGAGGTTAATATGTGTACAATACGCCCCTACTACAAAGCGATTTTTAAGTAAAAGAATTCTTATCATTATGAAATGAATAAAGTTGCATTTCATAAGCAACAAAATAAATAAATAGACCTTCTATCTCCCACTCAATAGATACAGCAGCTGACATAGATCTATATGTCATTAATCTATTTTGAAATTATTTGCCCCTGTTTATCGTATACATATCGTCATTATAAACATACATATATTTATATTACCAAAGTGAATACAGATAATAATTCTGAAAAAAAATTCTTTGGGCCGAGGTGTCTTCAGTATGGGCCGAGGTGTCAATAATTTTGGGCCGACCTGTCAGGGCCGAGGTGTCAAACGTGACGGGCCGAGGTGTCGTTGGGCCGAGGTGTCTGTCTACCATAATGAATGGTCACGTGATAAACACTATATAAGGCCGATCCCGACCTGAAATCATCACTTCGGTCACATAGCAAAATGAGCCAGCAGCAGCTTTTCCAGCCAGACCATCGGGCTCCGAAGGTGAATATTTTGCACCTTCTCTATTAGTTACATAGATTTGAACATACATTCCATTCATGATCTATTGATGTTTAGTAGGAACACCATCACCACCTTCTGTATCATATTCAGCATCCCTTACTCACCTTCCCTAGAAGGTGCAACTAGAGAGAGTTCAACACCTTCCATCACCTTTTATCACCTTCTACTAGAATTATAACTGCAATTATATAGCCTGTATATTATCTACACTATATGTACCTTGGTTAAGTACCATAGTTGTGTACACCTTCAGTTGATAGGTCACCTTCTACACCTTCTTTGTACCAAGTGTACCTTCTAGTTATCAACAGAGATTATCACCTTCTCAGAACTTCTACACCTTCTTATGAATAGCCAGGGATCACCCCGAGAAAACATCAACACCTTGAGACCTGAACTACATTAAAGAGCGCGTTTGACTTTGTGTTTTTTTTTTATCTTAATAAATTCATAGATATTTTTAATCATCTTTGTCATTACTTGATTTCTGACAGGTACAGGAGGGCTCACAAACTTTGAAACGTCTGCAACCTTTACTCATAAAATAGTGGGTCATTATAATACTACAGGTTTCAGCAGGTGTATGCGTTTCAATATATATATATATATATATATATATATATATATATATATATATATATATATATATATATATATATATATATATATATATATAAAGCTTTACTTTTCCAAATTCAGAGCAAGGATGAAACTTAGACAACATACTTAATTAAAGCTTGCACATAAAGCTGGCATACTTTGTTTGAATTTTAGGTTTCGTAGATACTTGCCTGTAAGTCGGATTTTAGTAGATTGATCTTTGTTCAAAACTCTATGTCCAACTTATAAGCAAGCCCTAGAAAATGCAGTATTTCTCTGGAGGAGAAAAATTGATATAGTAATTTTGTAACAACTCCATCGGTAATCGTCTATAAAGATTTTTTTAAGCTAGTGCAGGAAAGGAAGATTTAATGTTACAATAAGCATAAAGCACATGTTTAAATTGTTAATAATAAATCAACAATCGATGTCACAGTCTCACCCCTAATACTTTGAAACAAATGTAAATATATGTTAAACGAATATTAATCTAAAGTTTGCAACAGATTTTCGGAAAAAAAATCGCACCGACATAAAAGGGAATCAATGGAAAATTCCTACAAACTAATCTAGAAAAATACAACAAACTGTTAAGGGAACTGACAATGACTTTTAGGCGAATATATATTCGTCGGTACTTGTATTTAGTATTTCTACATCAGAAAGGAAAAAATACCTTTTCCATATCAATAATAAATACATTCATTTGTTAAATTGATAATAAACGTAATGAACATTTAATCCTTGTACATCTGGGTGTTATTTCAACAGTGGTTACAAAATGGTGTTGTTTTGAAATACTTTCTCTGCCAGTACTGAAATAATTATTTCATTAATGGTCGTTACTTCAGATCGGTGGCAATAGTGCTAGTTTGATTTCAACTTTATCAGTTGATATATTACTAATAAATTTCAATATCAAACAAATTTTAAATAAGTAGATACAAATAATTTTAAAATCATTTAGGACTCATGACGCTAGTAAAGATTGTAAAAATGGTTCATCCCACAAAAATCATTCTGTGCACCAGGGTTACAATGAATACAGGTGATAGTACAAATGATTATAGAACAATGTATTTCATTACCTCACGTCACTGAAAATAAATTCAATCATTGCTAAAAAAAAGTCTTTGTAAAAACACGTGAACCCATCAAGTGTGCAGCAACTACAGTACTATTTGTAACATACCTGTGCAACGGGATCAGCATTTCTAATAATTTAGCTGAATGGGATTTTAGTATGAAGGAAATAAAATCTTCACTATATATATATATATATATATATATATATATATATATATATATATATATATATATATATATATATATATATATATATATATGTGGGGAGGGGGGGGGGTACAATCAAATATATAAACTTTGACGTTTAACAAAAAAAGCAATTTTCCTATTTAATCCGAGCGCAAAGCATTAGACAATTCTTCCCAAAATGTCATCATATTTTCTTCAGATTCTGGCCATTGAATACTTATGATTGACCACCATATGTATCTCAGGTCTTTTGGCATTCTCTCCACAGGAATGCCGTCTTTAATGATCACTATTATGGATTTTTGCCTGTGATTATGAAAGGCATGTGTCACCACCATCTGCACGGCGTAGGAATCCCACCCACTCTCAAGAAATTTTTTTGTAACGACAATTATAACTTTCCGACTATCATCAATACACTGCAGGAGTTGCTCAGCTTTTGATAAACCAGGTATAAAGTCTTTATCTGGCAGGCTAATTTGAAAGCCTAAACGGATCAACTCTCGATACAGAGTTATGCAGGCTAATTTATAGTCCTCTTCTGCGTATGACACAAAAGCATCAAATGGGAATGTTTTATTATTTACTACATGACTGACACCTTTCCATCGACTACGCAGGCGCAGAATGACATAATCAACATGGACACGATATTTTTTCACAAATGCCGCTGTCAATACAGTGGTTAGTAAAAATACAAACAAAATCGAAGAACATGTCAACCATAAGTTTGTTTGGCATTTTTTTTCAAATACGATGAATGTTTCTTCCCGTAAAAATTCTAACATTGTCACTGTTTTGCTTACGCACAGGGTGGCTTCCAAATCTCCAAATCTGTGTTTATGTTCTCTCATCCATTTGAGAGAAGAAATGTGTGCACACTCACAGCTTAGTGGATTTCCTTTGATATGTAATTTTGAGTCCTTATGCATCGTTAATAATTTGTCGATGTCAGATTTGGCTAAGAATGAAATTTTATTTGAGCGCATGAATAGGTCGTGAAGCTTTTCTAAATGTGAGAAAGGGATTTCTGACAATTCATTTCCGTCGAGATTCAAATATGTAAGGGAAAGCTTTTGATCTTCAAACATAGTATGCGGCAAATATGATAAATAATTATTACTCAGATCAACATTTTTCAATCTTTTAAGGCCATGGAAAAGTTTTTCAATTTTAAAATTATCGGTAACGCCAAGACGTACATCTCTTGCAAAAAATGTCTCTAGTTGTGTGGCAAATCGTAATACTTGATCGTTCATTTTGCTACACAAGTTGTCAGACATGTCAAGAAATTTTAAAGAAGGTGTCTGCATTTGGGCTACATAATCGCATGGGAGATTTGTGTCTGCTATATCCAATTCTGTTATACGTTCACCAGATAAAGAAAATTCAACGGATGACAGCCCCACAGAGGGCATGTGATTCTGAGTAGCTTCTAACAATATTAATTGTTTGGACAGATTTAAAATAACGATCGGTCTCTTTTTGAAAGGAAAACGATATGAATCACTATTATTAATCATCGTACGAACAATAGCTTGAAAATCAATAAAGCTGACTTTTAGAACATGCAATCTGGGATATTGGGTGAGAAAATCAAGCACAAAAACAGGCTTAATTGTCGCAATTCTATTTACAGATATGTCAAGGTACTCTATGCATTGACCCATTCGTGTGTATAGAGGGTTGTCCAAAATTCCAGCTATCCTATTTTTATTAAGAGTGACTTTCTTCGTGCATATACTGAACAAATATTTACAATTTTCCTTGCTTAGAAAAACTGTTCTTTCAACATAAGTTTGTTTATTTTCACTAGCATCAATGTAATCCATTGTTCGATTCTGAAGACACTTTAGTGATCGTAATGCAACGTTCAAATCACACAATCCACCAAACTTAATAGTCACACCTTTCAAAAAAGGAAATGAGCAAAAAACTTCATCACTTACGTCACAAAAGACCATCTTAGTGAATTCCAGTCTCAGGTAAAATATTGGTGAGTTAGACAAACCAGAAAAAGTTGTATTTGTTATGTGAAATTTTGAGTTTTCCGTAACAAAGTATATAATTTTCAATTCCGTTAACTTTTGAAATTGATCGCTAAAATGAAAGCCTTCGAAGACTCCTATTGCCAATTTTTGCAATCTTAAAAGTCTGGAAATCTCGACATCTGGATATCCCAGATGTGAAAACTCATTATGATTTATGCGCAAAACTTTCAACTTAGTAAGATTAGAAAATGATTGGTTGGCCAGAGACAGTTTACCTAGATTGCAGCTGGAAAGATCAAGAACACACAAATTCCTTAATAAGCTAAAAGCGAATTTTTTTACGAGTTTAAGATCATTATACCGTAGAATGAGAGCTTTAATATTTTGTAACAATTCGAAATTGACTTCAGAAAATGTTTCAGAAGATATCGTGTTGAAATTATTTCCAGAAAGGTCCAATGCCAATGAGTTATGTCGAAATCTATCTGGAATATCTCGAGGAATTGATTGAATGTTACGATTTCTGCAATTCCACTTCCATCCACGATTCCCACATTCATCTATGTAAGGCTTGAAGGTACACATCTTAGGCCTATTTTGTTCTGAGATCTCTAAATCTAAATCAGAATTTGATTATTTTTTCAAGCATACACGTCATATATAACTAACATGAAATGGAGATACATAAAGTGAATGTTAATCATAAGATAATGTTTTAACATGAACACAGTGTTTGAATAATTATATAAGTTGTCATTTTTAAAAAGGCAAACCAGCAACAAGCAAGAAATAAAACTTACGCAAAACGTAAACTGCGAAAAGACAATTGAGGATTGTACTGTGTGCCATCACGGTGACAACAAGGTAAAATCCCTTCGTTCTTAAAGTGAATTTATCTGTCGTCTTGTATCAAATACAATATGGAAATCTAGAAAAATAAATGCTGATAAATGTGTAAAAACTGTTATAAGGTTTCTTTTTTTTATTATTTATTTATTTTAACAAAGAAGGTAATGAAAGAGATAACTGTTATCAATCTCACATATATTATATAGGCGAGGAACTACTTATGTACATGTATTAGCATTATCTTCTCGAATGTTTGAAGGGAGGAAAATTATCCATTCTTTGCGTTTACCATGTTCGTTATTGATCATGTTAAAATTTACATTGCAAGATCAATTTTCCCGTTCGGAGCAAAACTTTATTTCAACATTGAGATCTTGATCAAAGGGTATAATGTTTATTAGCAAAATTTCAACATGGTTTCAACTTTGATTTATCAATAATGTTTTAATGGTGCATATATACAGTATATTTGATTGTTACATTTTAACATAATTGTACGAATAGATGACATTTCCACGCTGATACCGATAGATCTCAAGGTCATATTAGAGAAATAACAACATCTTACGAATGAACGTAACTCACCCTAACTTCCTGTGCCTCGACAGTATTCCCTTATCGGGGATAGTTCTTTTTTGAAAGAAGTTTATGTTAATTATAGAACGGATACATGTAGTCACTCCGTAATTCTGATTTTTTGTAATCGATTCAAGAGTTTTAAATGTAGTTAAATGCAGACGAACAAAAAAATATAAATAAATAAAACCATGTAATGCCTAAGACGGACTATATATAGAATCCATTTGTCTTATTACGTCTGTGATTTTAACAACATTTCATTTGGACAAAAAGTTACTTTTACCATGAACAAAAACTGAATTTACATCTTGTACAACCGTGTACAGACGAAAATTCTCTGGGGGCGAGGTGCTTAGTCTCTTGCCAAATTTGGTTGTGGAGAGAGAAAGAGGGGGAAGAGGAAAGTCTACCTTAATTTACAAAAAAATATCCTAACTAACAAGTCCTAGTCGGGAGACTTGCCTACATTGTAACAACAAACTAAACTCGCCAAAGGGGGTTGACACTATTTTAGAAAATTTGGTTGTTTTTTTCTTAAGAGCGTGCAATTTGGGTGGGTTGGGGGGGGGGGGAGGGTCAATTTATCAAATAAAATGCATTTTGAGAACTTATGTTATTCCATCATATTGAAATTTGGCCTTTCAAATAAGTGGCGGATCCAGAAATTTCAGAAAAGGGGCGTAGTTCAAGATAAACCGAAACCATAGAATTTTTATTTTTCGTTTTTTGTTTGTTTGTTTCTTTCTTTTTTGTTTTGTTTTGTTTTGAAAAGAAAAAAAAGTAATAAACAAAACGCAAAAACAAACAATCCACAAAACAAACAGTAAAATAAGAAAAAATGAACAATCAAACAAAACAAAAAATATGGGGGGATCACTTCTCAATGACAGGCCACTTTCCTATATATATTTTATATGACTCTTCTAATCAGTAGCCATGTTTCCTTGAAGGAAAAGTCACTTTGGCATATTTTGTGATAAATTTCAACGCACCTATGTTAAGGCTGTCCCAAGGCTTAATATGGATAGAAATATAATCTTTTACTTCGAGCTAGGTTTTGATTTCAATGTGTAGACTGTGTATACATGTACATCCAATATGCGAAGAGCGTTTTAAGAGCATTTTTGTGACTTTGTTCATCACGCAACGGACACATAATTTTTCTTAAATGTTTCACAAAAATCGCACCAGCAGAAGTGATAAACAAAATTTTTGTGAACATTTTGTTACATGTTAATTCATCGTATTCTATGGTATATATGAAGTGCTGGGGGCAAGTCTGAATTTTTCTAACATAAAATTATTATTTCATGAGAACTTCAACTTACCCACACACTTGAGGGCATATTTCAAATTTTTGTCGCAATTTTGTACAAAATAGGTTTTCTTATATAAAATCCCCCAGCATAATTCAGTGAGAGGACGTAAATCTCATAGATGCACACAAAATACGCAGCTATGTTAAGGCTTCCCGAAGCTTTAAAATGCGCTCAAAACATAATATGTCATTGCGAGGTCGGTTTTGGTTTTAATTTATAAGTATTGAACTTTAGTACTTCCAATTCATATAAAGGGTTTTCTCGGCTATATATTAGCATATTTGTTATAATATCACATGACTTTGTTGATCACGTGACGGTCATTTATAATTTTGTGAAGTGTTTCATATAAATCGCTTCGGCGCAGCTGATTAACACAATAATTATTAACATTTTGTTATATAAATAAACTCATTGTATCCTTGTGTATCCGAAATGTGCTTGGGAAAAGTCATAGTATTACTTGGGTACAAAATATTTCCTGAGAAATTCAACTTACCTACAAAATTGAGGGTATTTTCCACACAATATCGTAATCTGTATTAAAACAAAGCCAACACACATTTTTCCCAAGCAAGATTCAGTTAGAGAACAACCTCTTCTTACAGATTTCCACAAAAATTCTCAGATTAATCCTCATTAATCACCTGCGCCAGGCTCTTTTATACATACAAAACAAATTCTACCTCCAACCACGGGTATAAATAGAGTACATTTCAAAAGTATATTTTTCATTAGCATTTTGAACATGATGAATTTCAATCAAGGGTAGGTAAGCGGTGTATTTTAAAAATATTCGGACATATAAGACTTAAAAAACCTTTAATGACCCGTGGATTTTTCAATAGCTATCTAGCATTTTACATGCAGTTTGAAATAAAGAGTAAAGTTCATGACACTCTCCCCGTCATAACACCTCAAGTTTGCAGTGACCTGACGTCATTTTCCATTATGATGTCACATTTTCGTAGTTCAGAGATGTAAAGGCACAGAGTGCACTGTCATTTTCTACGGGAAGCCTTAACCTACCTGCGTATCTTCAATTTATCCTTATTTATCACTTGTGGCAGTCTAATATAATTATACATACACGATTTATAAATTCTAACTCTGTATATGGACGTGTAATGGGGAGCATTTTACATTCTAATTTTCGTTATTGTTTAAATACGCTGTATAAAAGACAGGAAACAGGAATATCGATATTATATTGCAAATGTTCACCATCATAACAGCACGTTGAAGCCTAAAACAACAATCCAGACTTCTTAATTCAATATCACCGTAAAAATTTCTACGGGTCATACTAAAGGAATGAAGAAGTTGTGACACTTTCCCCGTTATGTCAGCTCAAGTTTGCAGTGACTTCACAATTATTTGGGAACATCTTATATATCTAGATAGTTTGGTCCACGAATCTAGTACTTCTTCACCGCGTCATTTTTTCACGAATTGGACAGGAAAGGGGGTCTAGTAGACCTGTTTTGTATACATATGATGTTCAACTTTTAGGGTTTATTACTTTTCATAGCACTCTTTTAATGTATCGCCAACTAATTTATCTGTACGAAAATATAGATTTTGCAATTTGCATACAACCAACTGAAAAATTATTATTTATAATAACTTATTTTTATATTTAAATCTATAAAGTAATGACAATAGCATGAAATGGAAATCGATTTTGTAAGTTTATTTTTGTTCTCTCCCTTCCCCTTCTTTTCGTCGGACAGGATCAATGACTTCAATCTAACACTACATCTTTATAGCCCTTAATAGAAACCCTTCTGTCCTTGAAATATCAAACTGAATAGCAATGAAGCGTCACGGTAGCGACTACGACGAGAAATAATTTTGAAGTATCTTGTGGTGATGTTATCTATTGAAATCTCCATAACATCGGGGAAGTCAATTATGCAATGAACGATTCTTTTTTCTTGAATCGTATTGTTACGTTTGTTCGTTAAGATGTTGGTATTTCTCTATCTAGCACTAAAGTAGTTAATTAATAGAAAAGTAAGGAATACCGCAGAACTATAGATAATTCGAACTTATCTTAATTGAGTACACTTGCAGTTAGTGAGTAGTATAAACTTTCACAAGCGAGTCTGTTCCTCTAATTCCTCTAAGTATAGATAGGAAGTAGATCTAATTTTCATAGAATTAGGGAAAGGGTGCTAAATATATAAATCATCCTCTTTACGCATATTAAAGGATGGCATGTTAAATTCTCAGTGGGAAAGCTTTGCCTTTTCCTGTTAACTGAAACTAGAAAATATTTTTTTCGGATGAATAAGAAATCATGATTCAAACAATTTAATTAAATTACTGTTCAACGTGAGTGTGACTTTCGACTATCGTTTATGATTGACGTTGCACTTGTACTGTGTTCAGTGTTTGTGTTGTCAAATAAAAAAAAATTTCTTTAAACTTTTGGCCCTACCGTGCCTTTTATGTCGTTATAAATGTCAAAGCTTTGAACACACTTCAAGGGAAAGATACGAGGGTTGGTCCAAAATTAATACCACTACTGTTATAAAATCTTAAATAATCGAATGTTATCAGCAATAATTTTCATACTGATAACCCAATCTATTTTGATTTTTGCTTTAAATTTCGTAAAGTTTATATGTAAAATTCTTTTTATATAATTAAGATGTACCCAACATTAGGTAATGTCTATCGCCGCGTCCCAAAAGTGTTCTGACGTTGTTATGACGTTACTTTATCCCTAACCCTAACTCTCGTCCTATCCCAAATACTCATTCTTTTCCTTACCCCAACAGCTTAACCCTAAGGCGACAAACATTTTCAGTTTATCCACAAATCTGTTTAACCTCTCACATGGTTCTTTTTCATAATCTTTTCTGCAATTTTGCTATAAAGCCTTTTTTCTTGAGTTGCAAATGAATTTTAAAAATTATTTGAACTGTGTTCAAATTTCAACTTATCTCTAAATCAGTCCTTTTGCATAGATCTTATGATTGTCAGAATTAATAGTAAGTGATTTAAGATTGACTTTTTGCCCAATGACTTTCTTCTACCTCAGTTGAAATGCTGAAAAGTTTGGTACCTTGACTTTACCACAGACTAGACGTTCAAAAATTTACTACTACTAAGTGAAATAATTAACATTATAAAAATACAAAAGTTGCATTAAATACCAAATGATTGTACATGGAAGTCATAAGATGGGCAGATGCAAGGAAGAAGAAAAGTAAGTGCGACGAGAATGAGCCTTTCACGTCACCTCCTCTGAATCCGACGCTATGCTTTAAATATGAAATTTAAATAGATTCATGGATGAACTGCAAAAGAGTTTCGAAGAGAAATCACATCACAACATCAATACATTCTTGCTGTGCGGCGAAAGACTATGCCTAGCGTTGTGTTTATTCTAATATTTTAAAAAGTTGAAGGCAAAATTCAACGTATAGTACCAACCAGACCCAACCTGACACCAAAGAAGTCCCAGAAAGCAGTCCCCGGGACTGCTTTGGGACCGCTGTGGGACTGCTCTGGGACCGCTGTGGGACTGCTATGGGACTGCTGTGGGACTGCTCGAGAAAGCAGACCCAGCAGTCCCAGCAGTCCCTGGGATTGCTTTGTTCACTCATGCGTGAGAAAGGTTCTGAGTGACATGATAGCTCCGTCCCTTGTGTATTCTGAATTTGCAGCTCCCTGTTGTTGATTTGTTCACTTTCTGCAGAAAAGTGTTTAAAATAAAAACAAATTAAAAAAAACAAGTGTTAATTTCTTACAAAAATTAAATAAATAGAGATAGTTATACATGTTATTACTAAATGTCTTCATAGGGCTGTAAATTTACACAATTGTAGTCTAGAATTAATTTTAAGAAAACAAAAGTAGTTAAAAAGGGAAGTCAGGGAATGATTTTTATCCCTTAAATTAAACTTCAATACAGGTGTTTGAAAAAAAAAATTATCTCGGCCTATGTTTAACAAAGAATTTTTCAAAAGCTCCAATACTTATAAGAAAAATGTATTCAGAATAGAGTATGGGAATTGGCCTTGCTTTATAATAATTATTATCTGTTTAAAGCTAATTCTGGTAGAAAATAAACAATTCAAGTTTAATTTTCTTTATAAAAAAATAAATGTGAAAACCAATATCAATCACAAAAAATAAAGAAATTGGTTTATTTTGGTTAAAAATTAATATACCAAATAATTGTGTTTAAATATTCATGTTATTAATAGGTGTGAACATCTTCTTCGTTCAATAATTATTATTTGTTTCTATACGCATACTGTGATTTTCTTAACAGTTCAGAAATGACTGTCGCGTAAGAATTGTAAATTTGTTGATACTACTCAGAAAGAATTGCTCATCAATTTCAACTGCCTTTTATATAATTACATTGTTAATTGGTAATCTCATTCTGAGTAAGCTCCACCCATTAAATTAATTAACCCCGCCTACTGGGACTGCTGGGACTGCTTTCTGGGACTGCTGGGACTGCTTTCTGGGACCGCTGTGGGACTGATCTGGGACTGCTCTGGGACCGCTGTGGGACTGCTTTAGCAGTACCAGAAAGCAGTCCCCGGGACTGCTCTGGGACTGCTTTGTGTCAGGTTGGGTCTGGTTGGTACTGTAGATAGAGGTATTTTGTTGTTATATAGTGTTTTGCTAAATGAAAATGATTAACCACAAGAAATCAAACTTTTATTTAATTGGGATGTGCACAATTTCTGCATACAAGGCAGAGCTGCAAAAATGCCCCTTTGAACTTTACAATATTTTTAAGGGAATAATAATCATCAATCTCGTTGAGAGCTCTCCCTCTTTCCAGATTGTCAATTATCTTTAAAAAGCTCAGTCAATGGAAAAAAACATTTCTTGACCTCTGTTTTATGTCAAATTCATGGTCCTGGAGTCCAGAGAGGGTTCATTTTATAGGAACATCTACTCTGAGATACTAGCCTCGTGAGATCGCACTTCTAGCCAGCTCGAGACTCTTGTATTCCTCTATATTAACCCACAATCAAGAAAACAGAGCTTTCCAT